AATATGAAAAGGAATGGCTGGAGCCTCAGCTGAAAAACATGCCAAATAGTAGCACTGAAATCAAATAAGTAGGGCAGTTACAAGATATAACTATGTATAGTAATGGTCCAGGCACCCTCAGGGCTGAATCAACCTCATTGGGGGGGGGGGAAGAATGAAGAAAATACATTTGCCTAATCTTATAGGTTTCCTTTCAAAACTAAATTCTTGGTTCAAGTTCAAAGGCTCACCAGAGACACTGTGGAATTAAAAAAACCCAAGTGGATAGTTCCTGGTAGATATGGGTACTGTTCCATGGTAGCCATGATACTTCTGAGAAATGCAATTTTTGATACATTATGTCATCCATTTAACACAAAATTTGATGTGAAACCATTTTACTTCGAATTTTAAGAAAACATACATTATTACTAAAACTAAAAGCAGAAAAAATGATATATGATTTTTATGACATTGTCCCCAAAGTTAATCCGAGTGAAATTCTAGAATACCTTCATTTATTTAATGTCAAATGGGATATTAAGAGGTTGTTGCTTCCTTATAAAATCCCTATTTAAATAAGATATAAGAATGCAAATATAGTCTTATTTCTATATTTTAGTTAAAGTAGCTTTTATTGCCTGTCTATGTCATTCTGTTTAAGGTTTTGGTTTCATATTGTCTAATCAGAACAAAGGCTGGAGCAATTGATGTTTCAAAAAAATTTAGGTTTGTTAGATGATATATATATATATATATGTGTGTGTGTGTGTGTGTGTGTGTGTGTGTGTGTGTGTGTGTGTGTTTTCAGGCTCAGTTTTGGCTTCTTGTTGCCACAAGACTGGGCACCCATTGTTCTTACAACTTCTCCTTTGTCTACATGGTTGGGAGTTCTAGTGTTCTTTCTAGTTGAAAGGAAATGCTATATTTTGCTTTGTTCACAGAACATTGACTGTCAAGTTCTTTGTCTTAATGATTCTGCTTTAGGGAACTGTCAGTTAATCTCTGGGGGGACCATTATGACAAATTTCTGTAATTAGATTATGATGCAAAGGTTTGTTTAGCCACAATATTAAAAAATATAATTATGATTTTGGGGGGTATGACCTCAATCTTTCCATCTTGTACATCCGACTTCCCTTTCAACGTTGGCTGTCTTTAATTTCTCTTATTGTATTCATTTTCTTTTTAAACTTTGTGAGCATAATTAAAATTAACCTACCTTTGAGAACTCTCAGCCCTCACTCACACAGCAGAAAAAATGAAATATGGATACAAAGACTGAGCATATAAATTACTTCTAAAAAGAAAAATGCCTTTTACACTGAGCTTTTGATTTTCTTTAAGTTTTCTTCCTTTCTAGAATTTGATGGCTATTTTTTGTCTCTAGTCCAGTGATCTTGTTATTAAAGCATTCTTGTAATGGTAACATAGCTAGCATGCCTCACAGTTATTAACTAAATTCGACTACATTGAAATATAAAATACCCTAAGCTGGTATTTTAAAAAACAAAAAACAAAAACAAAAACACTTTTCAAATGATCCTTCTTTATCTTAGTAAAACACCTTGGGGGTGTGGAGGAGCCAGAGGGTTTCTTAGTTACCTTGGGTGACATTTAGAAATTGTGAAAAACAGATAGAAATAGCTTTGCCTCTTTTGTAACAAATATTCATACATATAATAAGGATGCCACTCTGAGTGCAGCTTCTCATAAATCAATGACATTAAAAACATGTGCAGAACAATTTATATGAGAATGTGGTATGATTAATACAATAGAGTCAACCCTTGACCTAGAGAAAAGGTTATAAGGATGAGGCAGGAAAGAAATGCATAGAAAACTGATTTAAACCCACAAACACCCCGAGCCTCATTGGAGTGTGTTGAACAAAATAATTTTCTTTTACATTGTTAATATTCTTGAAAATAATAAAACATACAATCACTTTTGTGACATAGTTAAGTTTTTACAAACAGCTATGACTTCCTGTATGATTACATGAAATAGCATAAAGGCCTTTTAATTATTATCTAACCTTACTTCCTCATTAGAAAGAGAGACCAGGGGACTCTCTGGGCACTGCTTAAGGCTGCATAACATGAAAACATCAGCTTATACAAAATTTATGATAAAAATGATACAGCTTTATATTTTTGGTGTTATTAAGAAAAGATAGGTATAACTCCATGCTTTTTACAAAAAAATATATGTAATCTGGCTTGAAGCTTAAACAAGATCACAGCTGGGTGCTTCATAATTGTTTTCTGTTTTACTTGGATTTGGGGTAAAATTTGATATTCATTGTGTTTTAAGATAAGTTTTAGGACTTATTTTTGAGATATGTATTACTTAAATAGAAATAAGTTTTACACCAGTCTTTATACATTTGACCAAGTAGACTTGGGGGGGGGGTAAAAAGTGATGGTTATGATTTGAAGAGGTTATAATATACAGAGGAATAGTGTGATTTTCAAAAGGACTCCTAGCATAAAGTAAGTCTGAAGAATCAAGTACCATTTTTTTTTTCTTTTTCTGGGAAGTCATTATTTTTGTGCATTGTGAGTACTGAAGATCATATGAGAATCATGTTCTTGTCTTTTGTTTTTAAAGCAAGCAACAGGCAGGCAGGTGAAGATGACATCTTTGTGTCATTGAAGCAATCTCACAGAAACGATTATGGGCTCCAGATAGTTTTCTGATTAAGGAAATTACTTCTATGATGACATGAAAATTGATATACTCTTATTTTATATCCCAGGCCAAATGGCTTGTAGGATCTTCTAACAGTAAATACCAGGACAGCAATTCTCAGTTCATTAACATAAAAAGTCTCCTTGGCACCCCACCTGTCATAGAACAAAGTGTCTGGCCATTTCTCATGGCTGGGTTCCTGTGGTGCTTTTCTTAAATAATCAGCCCCATTCAGGCAGAGACTTTAAGGTCCCTGATCTATTTCACAAGTATTATTATTATTTTTTTTTGAACAGCTGAGTGGCTGCTTAAAGTGGAATATTTTTGAAGAAAGTTCAGAAAAAGAGCTTGGTATATCCCAAAGCTGGCTTTCTTCATTTGTGTTTCCCAAAGGCCAGAGAAAAGTCCAGCTATGACAGACAGCAGTGTGCTTGGGCACCCAGCAGAGCATCTACTCCTGCTCTCTACTGCAGCCTGGGCGGACCTTGGAGCCTGTCTTACAAGTGGCCACTGTATTTAGAATGAGAGGGGAACCGGTCATAACCTTGTCCTCATTTTGACCCTTCAGCACCAGGTATAGAGGTTGTCATACTTCAGTTTTTCTTCTTTAAATTTTATAAAACATAAAATTCTATTAAGTGGAAAGATCCAAGTCAACATTGAACCCAGACAATATACCCACCCATGTGTATTATTTTAAGAGGGTTTTCCAGAGTCCTTATTAGAAGGCATGCTTCACTCTCTTACTCTGCCCCCAATGAATTCCAATGATCACTAGTGGCAAGGTACACTTTTTGAAATTAGGAGAGCTTTCTCTTTAAAAAAGGTGTTCCCAGTGGGAAAAATTACTACAGGCCTCGAAGCATAGGGACATCTGTCCTGAGATGGGATCTAATTTGCAGGATTTTGGAGGGATCTGATTCTCAGAGGGCACCCTCTTGCCTCTGCTAATGAGGATGGGACTTCTGTTGATTGTCACTGCTGTGTTTTGAGGGTAGCCTGTGCTCACTAGAATTCATCCCGTGGTTACCATGTCTACGGGCACATTGAGCCTGGCTCTGAGGGAATGGAATAGAATCCACTGAGCCTGGGGTGTCCAAGAGCCATACTTGTGGGAAAGAAACTCCAAAGCTCATTAAAACTCACGATTCTATTTTCATGCCATGCACCCAGGCTCTGGAGGTAAATTTCGACACAGTTCCTGCAGGTTACTATCAAAATATTATCCTGCAATTATGTATCACTCAACATGGGGAATACAGAGAATGAGTGAGGAAAAATTTGAAATAAAGGTAAAAAGGTGTTGGGAGACAGAGATTATCCAGGGGAGGGAAGGAGGAAGAGAGGAGGAGAGAGAGAAAGAGGGGAGAGATAGGATATAGAAGACTAGTCCCCCTTCTTGCTTTGCCCAGCCAGTGCAGAAGAGTCCAGAGAGTCCAAGGTCGTACAGTCCTCTCTGCTTGCCTCTCATGCTGAATGGCTGGCAGTCCACAGCATCCCCGCCTCTGGCCACCGCAGCCACAGGTTTAGGGTTCTGGCAGCAGCGCCCCTCCCGGAGCCAGCAGGGTCTCCCTACATTGTTCTGTACCCACCGCTGCCCCGTGCACCTCCCTGCCTCACTTCTCTCCGCTCCCCAGGAGGTTACTCTCTTCCCTCTGACCCCTTCCCCCAAGGGGGCGCTTCTGCCACCAGAGACGCAGCAGGAGTCATTTCTCCCCCAGGGCCGGGAGGCCCGCAGAGAGCCTGAGAGCGGGATCTATTTACATGGTGTATTAGGTAGTCTTTGAGGAACCGTTTACCCACGTGCCAACGTAATTGTCGGTGGCCGGACTGTAGGCATGACCAGCCGCCTGCTGGAGGAGAAACCCACTCAGGGCGGCGCGCTGAAACCGCGCTCTGCGGAGCGTCCCCCCGTGGCCGGGCAGGACCTCGGACAGCGCCCACCACGCCAGTCCCTTGCGGGCTTTGGGACTGTAAAGCCTTGCTGGTAAGGCTGCAGCTGTTTCTAGCGCTTGCAGCTTCCAAATTCTCGCCACCACACCCCTCCTTCGGAAACTGGGACTCATCGCGCCTGTTGTGTGGCTTTCTTTTTTTCTTCCGAAAGGCCCGCCCGCGTCTTATCGCTCAAGTTCAAGTCCGGAGGACTTGCCCAGTCTCCTCCCCTTAAGTCATTCTCCATCCTCTGGCAACCGCTGAAAGCTGGGAGTCTTGGGCTGCTGGTGTCAGTGCCAGCACAGGCAGTCCGGGTCGGTCGAGTGCAGCAGCCCGGCGCATTCTTCTCTCTCCCTCCCTTTCAATCTTCCTCTGTCATCTTCTCTACCTGCCCCTCCTTCTTTTGCCTCTTAAGTTTCCTGCACCGGGAGCCCAACTGTGCCAAGCCTAGACTCCCGCGGACCAATCCGGATCGCGACCCCGGCACTGGGACAACGACTCCGCCAAGGCTGGACGAGGCAGCTGGACCCGTCCTCGCCCGAGCATGGAGACGGAGATCCGGGGAGGGCACGTCCCGGGCGCTGGAGACGCCAGGCCGTAGTAGCTCCTCCATGGAGCCTGTTCAGAGCGGTCCTTGCTCGCTGCATTCAGACTTGTGCGGTAAGTACCGGTCGTCTCCACTGTTCCTAGCAGGGACACCTTGGGGCAGGATGGTCATCACCAGAAAAGGGCACCGAGGTGGAACTCTAGTTGGGCATAGAGCACGTCTGATAGGTGACCCTCAGAGTTCCATGCAGATTTCCACTGTGGAAGTTAGTAACTACTGGCTGTACCCCTTGGCTTAAAAAGTAGTGCTAGAGATGTGATTGTGGTTGTCTATCTCTGTGTTACAGGGAGCTCAAATGGGTAAACTGAACATCGCTTTCCTGTATGCAAATTGCACCCCCTTCCCCCACCCCCATTTCACCCGCACCTAATCCGGGTCAGTTCTACCTACCGGTTTCGCTGCCCGGGTCCCCCTCACTCAATCTTTTGCTCGCTCGCTTTTGCTATCTCTTTCTGCTGCTGTGTACATGTATGAACCCTGCCAGGGCTGGCGGAGAACCAGCCGCCGCCTTCAGTCCCAGCCTCCAGCCTGTCAAACCGTAGGGCAGGTCTGGTTGCTAGAGACAGTTGGACTCCTAACCAGCCTGTGAGCGGCTCTCTGTGTGCCTAACCTTCTCCGGCCTCAGCCATCCCGGCACCGGCACCGGAGACGCGCCGGGAGCTGAGAGCCCCTCTGCTACCGCTCAAGCCCGCCCGCCTGCGGACCGCACTCGCTTGTTTCTGGAGCTGGATTGACTCGCTTTTCAAATCTTCGTGCCCTTTCCCAGCCCTTTGGCTCCATCACTCTACACCGAGACCCCCTTTCCCGCTTTGATCACCAGCCTTGTCCGTGTGTGGTCATGGGATGTCTAATTTCATTTGTGTCTAGGCTGCTGAGAGCGCTCCCTGATCTGTAAAGTGGATGCCAGGTGGATCTATGTTTTTGAAGGAACAAAGACTCAGCCAAGGCACCGCCAAGGAAGTTTGAGAGGAGGGAGGATGCAGGCTGCGTGCTGGTACGTGCTTCTCCTCCTGCAGCCCACCGTCTACTTGGTAAGTCTTGAGCGGTCCAGCGTCTTTAAGATTCCACCTAACCGGAGGCCAAGCACCGGGGGGGGGGGGGGGAAGGGGGGCGCGCCAGTTTTGTGAGAGCTGTGCACCCAGAGACAGTGGGAGAAGTTTGGGAAGCCATTCTTTGGATTTCTGCTGGAGTTCTCGGGGCTCTCAACCCCATTTCTTGCTTCATTCTCCTCATCTCCTGATCACGATATTTTAAAAACCGCGGCTAGCGTACCCTACACTTCCAGAAACCAGAGAGGCAGTGGGACAGGATGCCTTGATGATTCCGAGGAAGGAGAAAAGTAGTGGGAAGGGTGTGTGAAACTCTTGACTGCCGTTCTTCACCCACCTAGTTTAGATGAAAGGGGTGGAGGTGAAGTCGAAGATGAACAGGGATCTGCCCACTGCTCGCTCCCCTCCCCCCTCCAATCCCGGCCCCAGTTTGGATTTGTGGTACATGAAGAAGTGCAGTTAACTTCCTGTGACTTACAGGCTTGCAGCGGGTGTAAGTTTATCCACCAGACACAGGTCAGAGATACATCTCTAAACATACGATCTTCTGTCTCCTTCCAAGCGCTAGTTTCCCTCAAATAAATGAACCTCAGTTTTAATGTGGGGTTTCTTTTTAGGAAATGGCAGGCCTTGCCACTAGGGAGAGAATCCCACCCATTGGCTCTGTCCGGGTCCCCCCCCCCCCAGAAACAATTTTCTGAAATTTGGACTCGACAGTCTGAGAACAGGCGCAGGGCGAATCGCTTTGTGGGGTTTGGGAGTTATGGCCATTACTGCGAGCCTAGGAGAGTTTGATTTTTCTGGTCTGATTTCTCAGAGGGTCAGGGCCACTTGCAAAATTCAGCCTGCAAAATTGAGCCTAGTGCAGCGAACCCCGGGGTTGATCCCGGGCCGCGGAGTGCACAGAGAACTCAAGGTGTTCTGGCAGGGGCGAGGAGCGAAGGCGCTGCAGTAGCGGCAGTTTTCTAGCCCGGCTGGATAAATGGACTAGGTGTGGTGTCTTTTATTCTCGAGAACTTCAGAAACCACGAGCTTGGAAGCAGTAGTGTACGATTCCTGAAAATGGCCGTGTTTTTCGGCCTTTGCTCTCCCTGAGACCTCAGGACGGAGAGTTCTGTGAATCCTGTACATGTACGCGCGCGCCTGTGTGTGAGTTAAGTGTATTTACCCGGTTCCGGCTTCCGGCTGCATCTCAAGAACCCTCAGTGTTGCTAGTCTTTGCACCTTTCTCGCCCGACTGTTACAGAAGCAGACGCCAGAGGGCGCTGCGGATCAATGTCCTCGCCCACAGGACACCTTGGGGGTAAACAGGTGAAAGCAGGGGCAGCCAATCCTAAAGAACGGCTTTTCTGACTGTTGCGGGTCCGTGCTTTCCTCAGCAGAAAGCAAACCGAATGCAAAAAGAATGTCCTCCCTATTGCCCACCTTTCGTCATTGACGCTCCCACCTGTGTTGACATTGAGGACCCGGAATCGGAGGGCGGAAAGTTCCACCAAAGGACACACAGCATTTTGTATTGGGTGAGGTGGGAGGTAGTGAAAGAGAAAGGCGAAAGTCGCAGGGGAGGGACGCCAACAAGCGTGCAGCGTGCCTGTCCTCTCCGCACACCTTTAGGAATGATTTGAACCTCAGGACTGCCCCTATGTCCCTGGCCTGTGCTTACACAGACACAGACACACACAGACACAGACAGACAGACAGACAGACACACACACACACACACACACACACACACACACACACACACACACGGCCAGGGCTCTAGGCTATGGTGCAGTTTATTGCTTGAAGCAAGTATTTCGATAGTCTGGAAAATAATCTATCAAAAGCGGAAGTGAAATCAATACGTTGTGTTAAATTTTAAATGTGTGTGTTGGCAGTTAAACCGTTTTCTACTCATTACAACAACAGTGCTGGATTTATTTTAATGCGCAGCGTTCTCAACAACAAGCGCATTAATTCTCCTTTAATTGTAAACTGGGAGCATTTGAAAACCATTCAGTGTGCAAATTATGCTGATTCAATTACCGTTTAGTTACAGACTTCATTACCTGAATGCCTTTTGGCAATACAGAGAAAGGAGACAATTTTTCCAATTTCACTGAAAACAATACGAAATGTGAACAATAAAACAGGGAAGGCGATTTAGGAGTCCATTCTTTTCTCTCCCATCTAAAGTTGTTTTGTGTGTCGGGGATTAGAAACCACACACACCACCGAAACAAAAGACTGGTGGCTGTGACCCAAGACAGTATTCCAGGGATTGCAACCCCATAACTATTTGCCAGGAAAATTCCAGGCTGTTTTCCTGGAGGAGGAAGCTGACTTTTCTCATAAAGATGGGTTTCAAAGGATGAATTGGGCAGTTAATGTTAGGGTGTTTTTAGGTAAATGAAGAAGTAGGGAGTCTTGATTAAAACTCTGAAGCAATGAACAGATGAAAATACGACAGCACGCCTTTTCATTACTTGCATTAAACACCAGCTACAGCAATGGAACCAAGCATCTATTTGTGACTTTACCCCAGAACATGTGAGCCCTTTGCAAAATCCTGCAACAGATGCACACAGGTTATCAGCAGCAGAACCAAGTTAAATTCCAAGAAGGCAAGGTGGCAACAAACAACAAACAAACAAACAAACAAAAATCCATTATTTCATTTTTTCATTGACCAGTCACAAGCTTCTGTGGATTGCACCATCAGTTAAATGACTGGAGACCACTTTGTGGCTTGCCTCCTAGCCAGCATTGCCAGTACACCTTTCCTTTATGGGTGAAGGATCTCGGTCATGTTTCTTAAGCAACTCCCACAGTTTGAGCAAGGCTTGTTTAGATATCTTCTGTACAGAAAGAGTTTAGACTACAGTTTATAGAACTCGAATTAACATGTTTCTGTTTTTTGAGAAATCTCTGGCAAATCAGTGTTTCATACATCACAATCAGCATGTGGGTAAAATTCTCTCAAAGCCTGCTTTTTGGCTCAGAGGTCTCTCTGAATGCCTGTCCTAAGTTATGGATTTTGGTTTTTATTTACCGTGTGTTTATTGAGAGTCAGGTCTCTTGTTTCAATACCAGAAGCTCATTTTTGTATTGCAACAGGAAACTGATTACAGGCATGTCTGTAGATCTACCTTCTGAAACCCATTATCTTGAATTCCCAAGTTTCGACACTGGGCAAACTCCTATCAAAAGAGGTGGGGTCAGGAGACCATCTTTTAAAAGTAAATGTAAGGAAAATTGCTGTTTACTAAATGTTATGCATTTTGTATTTAAACACCTGATCAATAGGAGGAAACCTATGGTGTGATTTGTTATTTTTATTAAAGTTCTACAGGTTTTATTCTCTATCAGTTCTGGACTGATCCAGGATATTTTGAATATGAGATAATGAGATAAGCAGACTGACTATAGCATTTAAGCTGAATCAAAGTGCACACTGGGTAAAGGGGACAGATGTAGTTTCTTGTTTTTAAAAAGTAGGGAGTAGGGGTTATAAACTGATTGATTCCCAGAGGATTGAGCTGAAGACCATATCAGGAAACAGGGAGAGGTTCTCCCAGTAGAAAATGTGGCACTTTATTTGGGGTAATACTCAAATGGTGAAGTGAGTCTGATAGTGTTCTTGGGCATGCAAAGAAAAGTTACTTAGAATTTGAGTTCAGAGTATCTGACAAAAGATGGATGTTGTTATTACAATCATTTGTACATTCATAGCACTATTCTTATGAAGAGGGCCCAGCAGTTTTGCTAGGAATTACAATAGCTAATAAAAATTGGTTGCATTCTCAACCAAAATAGGCAAGAATTGGAAAACATTTCCCAACCATACATTTTAGTTATCTATCTGCATGAATTTAATTTTCTTTCTTTTTCTTTTTCTCTTTTCTTTCTTCCTTTTTTATTTGTGATGTGACTTCTACATCAGTGTTTAACTGAGTTTAAAAAATATTGAATATATCAGTGTCTCTACTTCCAAATTGTTAGCAGGTAAACCATTAGGTGAATTTAACTAAACATAAAGGTGGCTGTTAGGGACTATGAAGGCTGAAGGGAAAGCAGGAGAACAGGCACCCAGATCTGGTCTAGTCTTTAAACTAGGTCTGTATACTTCCTGTCCTTTGGAGCATGAGTTAGCTGCTCACTGAAAAGCTCTCATCCATTTGAAATTATTCTATACAGCAGATAACAATAGCTACCCATTCGTGACTAAGGTGTTTTCTGTAAAAGATTGCTTGTGGAGGCAGCATGAAAAATTCTTTAGGCCAGTTTTTCTCCCTTTTCTGCCCCTGAGCACACCTGCAGACACAGGCTCCAGCTCAGATAGTTTGAGGAGCTTACACCTCAGTAGCACAGCAAGATGTCTACTCAGTCCCAAGGTGCTCTCCAGGCCTTTGCAGGACACAGAGAGGCCCCAGCTACTGCTTCCTGGTACTTTCTCAACAGGCTCAGCCCTGGCTTGGCCTGGGAAACAGCTCTTGGAAGTGTGAGAAGCAGTTGGGTAGTTCACTCCTTTGTCCTATTTACAGGAATATTGTGGCCTTGGGCCTTGTAGTGATAGCTAAGACACTGCCTTCCATATTGGGACAGGAGGTAGAGGAAACCAGAATTTCACCAACTCTTGTCAGCAGTATGTTCCCAGAAAGCTATTAAATTTGCGGCTCCTTTTGTGGGAGGCTGATTTCTATTCGGCTTTGAATTGTTGATGGCTATTTCCCCCTTAATGAAAATGTTGTCTGGGTGAAAAATATATCCGGTGGAAGGGAAATTGGTTGATTTTTTTTAAGATAGGTGCCCAATGTCCTACTTTTCTACCCGCGGGAAGATTTTCTGCAGACAACAAAAATTGACAGCATTGTCCGGGTAATAACCACTGTCGACAATATTTTCAAAAGGTCATTTGAGTGATGAAAGCATATGGATATTGCTTTTTCAAATAAGCAATTCTCTGTCCTGGTCTCTCTTGGTTTTATAAGGGGTAGGGA